ATCGATGAAAGACGCCTCGGGGTGGATATAATGTCAACTTGATTTGTGTTTGGCTAGGCTTCGCTCAGTCGGCGGTCTTAGGACTGCTGGCTGGAGACTACACTGCACTGATGAGAGTCAAAGAGCTCGAAACCGGTCTGTGGTTGTCTAGCGGCCTGGCTTAATCGAAATCAATAGGCATTCAGGAAAGAATCACTTGTATCAGTATTCGTTTAAACGAGTCGATGCATAGATTTCGGGAGGATGTAATTCAATATCCTGCGTGGCATTAGCCAGGGAAGTAGTTGTTTTTCTCCCGAAATCTACCTTTGTTGTTCATTTTTTTATGAACACTGGGTGGAAATGACTGTGAGCTTTTCATATTTATTCACATAACATTCGATGAATAGATTGAAAAGAATCGGGCAAGATGATAACCAACTAAGTGATACTCCGACTTCGAAATGCCAATATAACATATATATATATATATATATATATAAATATATATACAGGGTAATGCAAATTTCATGGTACACTATTGAGATATAAGAAACGGAGAGAGATGCAAACCATATTGAATTACGAAAAAAGTACGTCATTTCATGACCATCTCGAATATAGGAGGAAATCGAGGATATCTTCTAAATTTCCTGAAATATCCTGAAAAAACTGAAAACCATCGATTTTTTGAGTTATCAATAATTTTTCGACTATTACTGCTAGAGTATTGAAATTTAGTACACTCACTGATGTTCGCATACTCAATTCAATGGTGACATAAAAAATTTCTAGGCACACTAGATTCGAAGATTTCGAAGCCAAATTTGATTTTTCCAAAGGCGATCATATTGGATTTCCACATAATCGAATAGATCATAAAATTACCAATTCATCGATGTATCACACTCGTATATTCAATTCACGAAATATCAAAAAACAGGAAAAATTTAAAATAACAAGATGATTTGAAATCTGCTAGGCTTACAATTCCAAGTTCGTTTTCTGAAGAAGAAAATAATGAGAATATTCAATTTTTGAGGTGCTCGAAGTGACCCCCACCATTTTCTAAATAAAGCGCAACTCGACTGCGAATGTCATTTCCTGCTCTCCGTATGGTTGCCTACTGTATTGAATTGATTGTTTGTATGGTTTGTCCTCGCAAATTTTCAGCGTCGCAAATTGTTCTGGAATGAACTGTATTTTTCAAATATCCTCATGAGGAATAATCCAACGGATTCAGGTCCTGAGATTTAGCGGGCCATTGCACTTGACCGTTAGTACCAATCCATCCTTGTCGAAACATTTGACACAATGTCTGAGAAACCAATGCAGCGTTGTGGGCAGGGGCTCCATCTTGTTGAAACCACATTTGAAAAATGTTGTTGATGGGAAACTCATTCAATATGGGTTCAATTCTATTTCTCAGGATATTTCTATAGTTTTTTCTGTTCAGGCGATCTTCAAGAAAAAATGGACCCAGAATTCAACCATCGAATATGCCACACCCAGACGTTAACCGAGAATCTTATTTGATGGCGTGATTCTTTCTTGAGTTTTGGGTTTTTTGTGGACCAAAGATGTTCATTGTGACGGTTAAAATGGCAATTATTTGTAAATAGGCAATCATCAGACCATAACACTTTCAACAGAAAATCTATATCATCATTCATCCTATTCTGTAGCCATTCACAATAAAAAATCCTCCCGATTGATTTCTTGTGCACTACATGGTAGTGATAGGGATTGAATTTTTGTTCCTTGAGTATTCTACTAGCTGTAGATTGATTGATATTACATTGTCTTGCAATTTCATAAAGAGATATATTTGGATTTATGTGGACTTGTGCTAGGACAGTTATAATGTTATGATTCAATAACTCTCTTCTCATCCCGTAACTACATGAATAATCAATTTTTTTATGTAACAATTCATACATGTATATCCATAACTCACCTTGAACGCCTTGCTGCGAAACTACCATCTAGTCCAATCATCTGTGCTACCCTTTGAAAATAATTTCGTGAAGGCTGAATTCGCTCAGGGCATGAATTTTCATACATTCGACTAACTTGCGTCTAATTTCAAAAACAGCGGATGTAAACATCGTACGCATATCACTCTTGTCTTCAATACTGTAAACGTTCACCATCTCAACTCGCTTTCAATGGAGATGAAAACAATGATAAGTTTGTCGATTGTAAGAATGACAGTTCTGAATTTTTGATGTTACAATAATCATCTAGCAATATGAACTGGAAAATCTGACAGCAGCGTCCTTGATTCTGATAATATGTTTTCCACAATAAAATCGGAATTACACATCAGCTCGCGAATATTATTTGCAAATAGACCTACAGAGACCTCTGTCTATTGTGTCATTCTACTATGACACGAATACAATGATTATTCTAGCACCATCGATCATAGATTTCACTTGATGTTTTCATTTTTTTCTGTTTTTTGATATCTCCTACATAAAACATACAAGTGTGATACATCTATGAATTGGTAATTTTATGATCTATCCGATGGTGTGAAAATCCAATATGGTCATTACTGAAAAAATCGAAATCGGCTTCGTTATCTTCGAATCTAGTGGGCCTAGGAATTCTTTCATGTCACCGTTGAATTTACCATGCGAACTTCAGTAAGTGTACCAAATTTCAATACTCTAGCAGTAATAGTTGAAAAGTTATTGGTAACTCCCGAAGTCGATGGTTCTCAGTTTTTTCAGGATATTTAAGGAATTATAGAAGATATCCGCGATTTGTTTTGATATTCGAGATGGTCATGAAATGGCGCATTTTTTTCGTAATTCAACCTAGTTCGCATCTCTCTCCGTTTCTGATTTAACAATATTGTATCATGAAATTTGCATTACCCTGTATATACATTTATTATTTGAGACTGCAGCAATACGAAGGTGTACTCTTATAACATTATATTTCCAATATTTCGACAATGAATATTGTCATCATCGGGGAGCTACAATTCATGAAAAACTTCTTTTAAAAATGGTTCTGTAAAATTATCAGTAATATACTTACAATGTCAGTGAGAATGGTCGTTAAAAGATGGTCACTGTGTTGATTCACAAGACACAATAGTAATTTGCAATGCATTGGAATAGTGGAACAGTTAGATCAATTTAAAATTGTAAAATTGCAAACAGTAAAATGAAATTTATTTTTATATTAATTTTTTTTTTTTAATTATATTCGGCTGCCGAAACACATGGCAATGCTCGAATTTGTTGGGAATTTTGCGGGAAACTTTTATCAAGGTTAACATTGACAATTGTGAATTGACAATTAGTCAGTTATATGTCAACTGTTACTGTTTATGGGACACGTAGGTAGTATACCTCGAGCTTTGTGATACATTTTGATACAGTTACAGTCACTTCCACTTCTAAAAATGAGATATTGTATAATTGAAATTAGTTATTATCAATTGTTAAAGATTCTGAATAGGAATCCATATTGGTGGGTGTACTCAAAAAGTTGGAATGTTATTGAGAGCTCTGGGGTTCTTATTAACTCACAAAAGTTAGTATAAATAAATTCCACTTAAATGATTCAGATCTGTTCTTTTTTTAAGCCATTCATAGATTGGGATATAAATATCATTCCCAGAAATATTCGTTTCACATTATTTTTTTCTTTGCTAAAATTTTGGTGGAATTATAGTCCATGTTATGACCTTCTTTGAACACATGTTCACTAAGAGCACATCTTTCAGAGTGCAGTCTGCAGCTAATTCATGAATTGTTATTTTTTACGGAAATGGAGCAGGATATCAAAACAATTCAACAAAACAGAATGTTGTATTTTCAGTTGGAGAATTGGATATGGAGATATATAATTCGAAAAAGTCAGTGGCGCACATTTTATTGACAAAAATATTCAGTATGGTGCCCCTCGGGACGACCCTGAATTTCATAATTCCAATGCAATCATTGCTGAATCAGCTTCCCTCGATAAAAGAAATAATTGCTGGATTTCAAGGAAATCGGTGTAGCGATATTTGAGATATCCACAAACAGCCGATTTTCTTAAAAGAAGAAGTTCAACACACTGTATCTTGAAAACAATGCATATTCGGACAGACGTTTATGTGAGTAGAATATTATGTTTTCTCATGCAGGATCACCCCCTTGAGTGTTTGCGGATAATTGCGGTATATTATTATACAAGATTTCACGCATTACGAGATAATATGATATTTTTTTCGAATTATATCGATTTTGGTGAATGTCCATATAAAATATCATGAGAGTTCTTTTCAACATTCAATCTTATCGTTTTCCTTTTCCTATCATCATGCATTGTATCGGAATTGAACACGTGGTTCATGAGAATTCAAATAACGATTAATTGTAACATCCATGCAACTTCGGAAAGCACCCTCGAGTGTATACTAACAAACTAGTGGTAGAATAGAACTTTGTATGGACAGTTACTTGCAAGGATGAGACCTTGGCCCATTGAGGATGGTTTGCATAATTCTTTTCTGTGTTGGGAAGATTTTTTGAAGACTGAGTAGGTATGCAGGAGGAATTATGTATTCAAAATGTTCGACGGAACTTTCATCATAACTTATGATGTATACCTTCTCAACGATTTCAAGAAAACGATGATTCCTCGAGAAGCCTAACACTGAATGGATAGATATATTCAGAATCATCTTACCTATAACCTCTTTCCAGATGAACTCTGGTGAACCAAACACCCAGTGTATTATCTCACATTGTATCATCGCCTTTTTCCCATTGTTCGTATGATACATTCTGTTATGTTTTCATTCCACATACTGTATATTTGTGGATTCGGTAGCACACTGTACCGAGAATCGTTATGACAATTGATAATAATTGCAGATTTGTTTGTTATCGAAAATGGTAATCCATTCTATTTCTAGAATAAATATATAATTCTACATTCTACATACGAGTTATATTGCTACTACAGTGGAAATATAAAACATTCGATAGTGTAAAAGCGCTTTTTTGTTTCAGATAAGCATGGAGAAAACTTCATCAGAAAAACTCAAAGAAAACTTCGAAATTCAACTCTCAGAACTTGAAAGCCTTGAGTCAGTATATTGCAATCCCGGCGAGTTCAAAGTTGAAGATATATGTACTCTAGTGGACATCAAAGAATTTGTGAGCGATAAAACTACACTTCTGCCGCAATATCTAGATGTAACAATCAACCTCATGGTGAATGATATGAAATTCGAACTATGTTTCACATTGCCTCATGAATATCCTAATATTGAACCTGAAATATTTGTCAGAAACCAAACTCTGAATAGATCCAGACACATACAACTCAATAAGGACCTAACTCAGTATATTTCTAACGTAGAAAAGGGTGAGCCTTGTATCTTTTCTGCTATATCATGGCTGCAGGATCACGCTGAACATTATGTCGAGATAAAAGAGGAAACTTCTGCGAGAAACGATTTGAAAGACGAGAAATACGTTAGATATTGGATTTACTCGCACCATATTTATAGCAAGACTAAGAGGCGGGAAATAGTGGATTTGGCGAATCGGTTGCACATCGGAGGATTTTGTATGCCAGGTGAGAAAATATGTTCAGATAAAAATAGATTGTTCCCCACGGAGTAGGTTCCAATACAAATATTACACAAGAAAACAGTATTTACTGAATTATTCTTCAAATGAGCGTTCGAGATCGAAATGAAAAGCAATAAGTACTTTTGCACATCAAATAATTCCTTACTTCATAAACAAGGCTCCGTGGAAGGAAATGAATCTAGAAGTTTTATAATTTTCAAGTATTTCAGGTTAGGTTAGGTGTGTGGAGTGGTATATACTCATCATTAACATCTAAAGGTTGCTTCTTTGATGTCTGGCAGATCAGATAACTATTGTTATTCATAACACGAGCTTTGGATTTGACCAAAGATAATTCTAAACAATACATCATTGCAATACTGAAATCATTGTTTGTACTTCTATTCAAGATTAATAATCTATCTTTGTGTCGCATAATTGTCATCCATATATCTATGTATCGATATATATTGAATAATTAGTGATTCATTGAACGACTGATCCGTTTGAGATCCAAAATGATTGTGAGTTAACTTGATCAACCTATATTCCAACATATATAATGATCACGATTCCCTAATGATATTCCATCGAGAAAAATCTCCAAATCTGTGCATATCATTATTTTCCTTATACGAGCGAATATAATCCGATAGTTGAAGAAGTGGGCATGTTTTGATAACTGAAATATAGAAAGTATTTCCTTCATTTCCAGGCAAACCTGGTATAATTTGTGTGGAAGGAACAAATTTTGATTGCAGCGAATGGTGGCAGTCAATCAAGTCGATGAACTGGAAAAGGATTTTCCTGAAAGTCGAAGAAAACGACCAGGAAGAAAGGGGTCGAGGGTTCCTGAAATTTGAGAAATTTGAGGAGGTTGTGTTCACTAACAGTGGAATGAAATTCAATCATATGGATATGGGAGAATTACATGTCTATTTGGATAAACACTCATTAGCATACATTTTCAAAGATCTCTTTGGTGTAGATGGCAAATCAAATGTATAGTGTTGGATTATCTACGTCACATGTATCTTATATTCTCATTCAATTTTGGTTTATATCAATATAAAAAAGTAGGCCACACAACGAGAAAAAGGATTAGGTTTCAGATCCAGGTTGTGTTGTTTTCTGTGAGAAAATTGTATTTCATATGAAAAATTTCATTCTATAACCTGTCAACAGAGATGAAATTTCGAACTCTTTCCCGTCACAGAAAAAAATATCATGATGAGTCTCGAGTTATAGTCGTTCTGAGTGGCAACATATATCGTCTTGCAATTGGTCCTGATTTCAACATTTCATATGATTCCTCAAACTTGTCTAAGAATATGAAACAGATGGGGGAACTGAGATTGATGAATATTTTTCGCGAATAAAAATAATCACTTTTTTTACGAACGTCAAAAAATGAAAATGTTCGCGCATTGGTATCAATTTGCGAAGTGACAATATTTTGAGTTTCCTACGTTACCAAGACATGTGCGAAGCAGTGCGAGAAGAAAAATGTTGCGTGAAGTAAGTACTTCGCGCATTGCATGTAAACTATATGAGATTATTGTATTATAACCTTTATGGTCCTCAATCGAGCAAATGTCCACAGAATTATTCATTCCAAAATGCTCAACAATAATCAATTCTGTTTGAGCTAGTTCAACCCTATTTTTCATATTGAGCATAACATATTACTATTTGAGAACTTTCTTTCGTCGTTTGTAAAAGAATGTTGTTTGCAACACGTGCGCGAAATACTTCGGTGACTCGACTATTTTTTGACAAGTAGATCAAAGAGATAGGGGGAGTTGAACAATTCTATAGTCATGATACTGCTTTTCCCCTTCGATTCTTCAAGAGGTGAACAAAAGGTTTTAGTGTCACTTTTCCATCGTTATTCTATCATTCTATTTATCAGTATAACATAATCTTCAATTCCATGAGTTCACTAGTATACCTGCTTAGCATTGTTGTTGCTTCTCATGAAAAATGCCACTTCTAGCATACTGAGAGCATCTGAAGGAGAATTATGATTGCAGAAATTCGTTTCCATACTGTATGAAATTTACATTCCAAATAAAACTTTTCCGAGGAATGAAGCTCTAACTCCTAGTTTGATGTCCTCAGAAAAAATAATCTACGTTCTTACCTACGAAATTCTCTTCTGTCGTTCGTTCATCTTGGGGCAAACTTCTCTTCGATCTCGAGAACTGTTTTTCCTGGGTTTGGAGCATAAGTGTCTTGTAATTCTCGAATTGTTTATCGATGAATTCCTTTGCTTCTGACGATTCGAAGTTTGCTGAAATTATATAATCACTAGATTCTTGAGGAATATATTTAGTCACCTCAATTGCATATTTGTGTGGTATGATTTGTGAACAGTATGGGCTACGTAGGTTTATTTTCGAATCTTCAAAGCAAGTTCACTCACTATCAACATGTAATTACAATTATTATATCACTCATTTGTATTCTGTGATGAGAAACTTGACCATGTCAATGCGTTGAAGAAACTTTTTTTTTTCATTCTCAAAGAAAACAAGAACTGATTCATCATAGGTAAATATCTACAAAAATTCTCATTCTCAATCCTGGATTTCAATTTATAATGAACATAGACTCAATTCATCAGGTAGCGACGGAGAATCTGAGTACATAACTTTGCTACTAACAGAAAATTACATATACAGTGCACTAGTCATGATTTTAAACAGGAACATGGTACACTCGGATTCCTATCATTAAGTATCATCACTCACATACAATTTGCAAGATATGAACTGACATTGGTGACATTGAACAATTAATTTCATTGTGAAACAAGAATGATGTGATTCAAAAAATTAGGCATGACATTAAAAACGATCCTTGTTTGAAGCCCAAGTGAATTGGGAGTGAGGGCAAGAAAAAAGTTTGATTGAGTCTGGTGTATTCTGATACCAGAGATGGAATGAAAGCTATCCAAGGTAAGACATAATAAACTACTCACAAATGAGTCATTCGATAAGGCCAAGTGAAGCAAACAATTGTAGTCATCAAAATGAACACCTATAGCCAATAATGTCGTTGTATAACTCCAAGTAAAAAGTACAGTACCCACAAGTGAGTCATTCGATGGAGCCAAGTGAAGCAAGTCACTTGTACTTATCGTACTAATCGCCTATCCAATATTCTCTTTGTATAACTGCAAGAAAAAAAAACACTGAGGCCAATTAAACAAATATTGTGTCTTTAATAAAGCGTTTAATAACAGTAGGTTACATCTGTTTCTGAAATTACATCAATATCAGCAAGTGATCAGATTCAGAAATATCATTTTCCTTGTGGCCGAGTACTTGTCCCATATAGTATGCAAATTTTTCCGTGTGCTCACTTTACTTGCTATATGATTTACATGACCGAACTTAGGATCTAGGTATACTCCTAAAAATTTAACCGATTCTAGGGTTTCATATATTTCATTCTGGTATGTGGAAAAGATCATTGATTCAGTTTTGATTCTATTTTGATATAATCCTTACGAGGTGAACCAGTCTGGAGCTTTTGACATGGTGATGTCCATACTAGCTTTTGAAGAATCAAAATCCCCCTCAGAGTTGATGAATGTTATGAGCAAGTGATTTTGTCTTAGGAATAAAAAATAATGGTAAGTATTCATTAACCTTGCATGAGTTCAGTGTTCACTCATAATTAGCGACATCAAGATAAATATCGACTTGTTCAATAATGACAAGTTATTTGATCACTCACAGCAGAAACATTGTTTCAGAAATATTGGTTTGCCTACTCCAAGTAAGTACCTTATTTTCCTATCGTTGGTGAAAATGTTCCTATCACAATTGACTTTCTTCCAAGAGAAAGATTGACTTGGTCAAGTTTGCTCAGGTAAGTGATCTTTGGCACCTCAGAGGAAGATATCGCATTTTGTTCATGAAGAGGACTACTTTGAGATATCGCGAAGACAAATAGAGATAATCTCAAAGCCATCACCACAATAGTACATGAAATTAACGAAAATGCTAGATAACGAGAGGAATACAACTTTCCTGTCTACAAAATGATTCCAAAATAGGTGGTCAAACTTTGGGAGTATATAGAGTGAGTGAAATAATTACGGAAACCTTGGTGAATTTTTTTCTGAAGTGCTCCCCAAGAATGATACAGCCCCTCAAAGGAGGGCCTCGGAGGATGATCTTGTATTATTATCTCCAACACCTTGTATGATGAAAATCTGAAATTTTGTTCATTCACTAATTATTCAGTGCCGGTTCTTATGGAGTTGAAACCACCTCAAAATTCAATACGGGGTATGTCAAAATAGGGGGGTAGGGGGTAAAAATAACCCCAACTTATTTGTTCATCGCAATTTCAATTTTTTCCACATGCAATTATGAAATCTCAGAGCTATCAACATGGAAAATGGGCTCTTGTTGAATCTCGATAAAATGAACCATCAGCGAATAAAATTTATTTTTCCAAGATCTCATTCAAATTGCAATTTTGATATGCACTTGATTCAAATTATCTAGTTCAAATATTGCAACTGAAATCATGAAATTATGTCTTTGTAGTATTTCGGAAGACTATAGTCCGAGAATCCCATTCATTTAACTAGGGACAAAAACTACCCAAATCGTTCTTCAAAAATCTATTTGACAACTCCTTAACAACATCACAATTGTTCCTTACCCAAGGCAACCTTATTCAAAAACAGAGCGATAGATATATATTATATACTCAATATACCACAATATCTTTTCCTCTGAATGAAAGAATTCAGTCATATGACAAACGATCAATTGGTTTCACATTTCTTTTTGGTCTAACTCTAATCGGTACGACCGCATAGTCTGACGGATCCATTTTTCTTTGAGACAAGAACAATTGGTGTTCCCCAAGCACAGTAATCAATAGGTTCAATAACTTTTAACTCTTCCAGTTTATCTAACTCACTTTCAACCTTCTTCCTCATGGCAAATGGAAGCGGTCGAGTTCGAAAAAATTTTGGTGTGACAGATTCATTTTTTAAATTGATAGAAAGAACACCTTTAGTGAAAGTACCAAGTCCCGGTTCAAATACCGAATCGAATTTTTTGAATAACTCTTTCAGATCATCTGGTGAAACGATATAAAAATTGTTCGCAATGTTGAGTTCAAAAAAATTGAAAAAATATCACGACCCAACAAAGGTAGACCTGAAGCACCCTGTATAACATAAATATCTATGGAATTAGTTTCTACTTGAGAATACACATTGCAAATCATATATACTTTGGGAATGATTTGGTCTCCATTATATTAACACATTCAATGCTGATGACCCGGATCCGTGTCACCTCTCACTTGTAGCCACGTGCGCATGACAAGGATCCGTGTCGCCCGTATTTGTTAACACATTGGCTGCGGATTCTTTCAAGCTTACTGAACCTGGGTGCTAATTTATTTTTTTTTGTTCCTCTTTTATTATCTTGTTGTAAATATAAATTCACTATTTTTCACGAACACTCGGTATATGTTGGTAAAAATAGTGAATTTATATTTACAACAAGATGATGAAAGAGAAACATTGAAAAAAAATTAGCACCCAGGTTCAGTAAGCTTAAAAGAATCCGCAGCAAATGTGTTAATGGAAAATTTGATCCGTTTCATGTAGAACTTTACCACTGAAATACTCCGCAAAGAATTTTTCCGATACAACTGTGAAACTTGACCCAGTATCGAGGTTGAAATTTGAAGGAATATCATCGATCTTCAAATTTATTAATATCGGATCAACTTTAGATTTCATATTGTGAAGTGAAAAATCAGACTCTAAATAGTTTTGATGGTGAGAGTTGTTAAAATTCCTTCTAGTTTTATTTCGTTTCTGGGTACACATTGGAGCTAAATGACCCTTTTTGTTACACACGTGGCAAAAACATTCTCGAAAAGAACACTTATCTGCTAGATGGTTCTTCCTTCCACATACTGTACACTGGGTATTTTTCGATGAAGACGAAGCTGGCTGTCCTCTCGACGATGATGGCTGTTGTCCTCCGGACGGTTTCTTCAGCCTACCTCTGTCCTGTTGAGATTTGACATAGTGTACTTCTGTTTCCTTCTTCACAACTATTTCTGAATTTGCAGATATGGAAGATGGCTTGGCTGCAGATTTCATGGTAGCAACTTCTACAACACTTTTAAAAGTT